TAAATTTTTTTTTTCCTTTTTGTCTTTTTTTGTGACCGGTAACGGGATCGCAACCCTCAGTGTCGCGCCCGTACTGTGACTGGCAACGGGATCGCAACCCTCGGTGTCGCGCCCGCACCGCGCTCAACCAGTGAGCGGACCAGTCTCTATATGGGATCCGAACCCTCGGCGGGAGCGCCGCCGCACTCCCAAGCGCCGCACTCTACCGCACCAGGCCGGCCCTAAAAGTATAAATTTTGATGCACTTTGAAGAGAAATAGCTAATGAAGTTAGAAATGTGTATATCCTACAACCAGAAAGTCCACTTCTTGGTGGTCTATTCCAGAGAAAGTCTTACACACATACATAGAGAGATGTGCAAAGGATGTTATTGTGACATTGTTGTAATAGTGAAAAGCGGTATATCTAACTGTTCCTGAGTAGAAGAGTAGACAAACTACTTTATTTTATTTTTTATTTTTTGTTGTTTTTTAAAAGATGACTGGTAAGGGGATCTTAACCCTTGACTTGGTGCTGTCAGCACCACACTCACCCAGTGAGCCAACTGGCCATCCCTATATGGGATCCGAACCCATGGCCTTGGTGTTTTTAGCACCACACTCTCCCAAGTGAGCCATGGGCCAGCCCCAAACTACTTTATTTTTAAAATGGAATATTGTACTTTTGTTAAAGTAAATTAACTAGATCCACATATATCAATATGGCTAAATATATAAAACAACATTGAGTGAAAAAAGCAAGTTGCCAAGACTTAGAAATATTGATATCATCTATGTAAATTTTAAAGACAAAACTACATTACATATTGTTCATGGACATACAAGTACATATTTAGTAGAAACAAAAAAAGTATGAGAATGAAACATACCACAGAATGATAAAGTCCAATTTCAACAAAGTATTGGTCAGAGAGGAAAGGGAAAAGAGATAGGTATATGATTTAATTTCGTCTTTAAAAGGAGACAAACTGAAGGAAACTTGGCAAAGTGCAAAAATCTGTGTAATTTTAGTAGTGTGTCACATGTGAGTATTATCTTTTTTGTATAATTAAAATGTTTCAAAATATTAAAAAACGAATACTCCTGTTTTTATGTTTAGCTTGAAGCTGAACTAGAGAAAAAAGACCAACAGTTTAAAGAACAAGAAAAGACTATGTCCATGTTGCAACAAGATATAATATGTAAACAACATCATCTTGAATCACTGGATAGACTCTTGACGGAAAGCAAAAGGGTAAAATCATCTTCATAAAAGTGCTGTTTAAAAGCTGAGTATAACATGAAGGTCAAGGATTGAGATCTGCTTACCAGCTAGCTGCCAATAAATAAATAAATAAATAAAAGCTGACATATTTTATGTTTGTGTAATGTACCTTTAAATCTAATTAAATCAGTTGTTTAACAGCCTGTTACTAATGCTAAAATGTTTAGTTGCATATTTATATTTTCCTACCAATCTGTATGTTTGCAGGAAATGGAAAAGGAAAATATGAAGAAAGATGAGGCTTTGAAAGCATTACAGAACCAAGTATCTGAAGAAACAATCAAGGCTAGTATGCTAACACTTTAATTTTTTTTTTCTTATTGAAGACCTTCTTGTAGCTTTTTACTTTTCTCCGTAAGTGTAAGAACTGTATACATACGATAACACCAAGGTCCAGGTTCGATCCCTGTTACCAGCCAGCTGCCAAAAATTAAAAAATTTTAAATATTTAAAAAATTTTTAAAAATTATATACATGGGGCCGGCCTGTGGCTCACTCGGTAGAGTGCGGTGCTGATAACACCAAGGCCACGGGATATACATGGGGCCGGCCTGTGGCTCACTTGGTAGAGTGCGGTGCTGATAACACCAAGGCCACGGGTTCGGATCCCATATAGGGATGGCCGGTTCGCTCACTGGGTGAGCGTGGTGCTGACAACACCAAGTCAAGGGTTAAGATCCCCTTACCGGTCATCTTTTTAAAAAAAGAAAAAAAAAAAAAAATTATATACATGGGCCGGCCTGGTGGCGCACTGGATAGTGCGCCGCTTGGGAAGCGCAGCGGCGCTCCCGCCTGAGAGTTCAGATCCCACATACAGGCCGGTTCCCGCTCACTGGCTGAGCGAGGCGCGGGAGCAACACCGAGGGTTGCAATCCCGTTGCTGGTCCCCGGTCCAGTACGGGGGCAACACTGAGGGTTGCAATCCGTTGCCGGACACAGAAAAAGACAAAAGACAAAAAAAAAAAAAAATTATATACATAAAAGGTAATTAAAGCTGAAGATTTGACCTAACTCAATGAACTGTTTCTGTAAGTGTATTTTCTTTTATGTGAATTAGGATCATAATTATTTGATAATTGATAAGCTAGTTTATAGATCAGCCTCTTTTTTGTCTTTAAAAGTTTTTTTAACCTTTAAAAATGTTTTTTTAATTTTAGCTGTAATTGCTACTTATTAACATTAAAGAATTAACAAAGGAAGTGAAGGGAGATGAAACTAAAGCAGTCAAGTTTTGCTTCTTTTTACCAGTTCTGCTGTAAGATTAATTGGGAGATAAATCCAGAATTTCCAGCTAAAATATGGTTTTGTGGTTAGTATATCTTCATGGTTAAAAACATAGGCTTTGTTGCTTGGGTTTTTGTTCTGGCTTCATAGTGCTTACTAACTGGCTGTAATCCTGGCCAGTTTATTTAATCTCTCTGAGCTTCAATTCCTTGTCTGTAAAATAGGAATAACAGTACCCTAGAAGGCTATTATCATGAGGATTAAATGAAACAAGGTATACGGGAGTACTTCAAAAAGTTTGTGGAAAAATAGAATTGAAAAATAATACAAATCATGCCATGAACTTTTTGAAGAACCCTCATATAAAGTGCATATACTAAGTTACTCAAAGTTTAATAACTAAATGACATATAATCAATATTTTCTTCTTTGCATTTTTAGTGTTAAAAATAAGTCCAAATGTGCTGCTACCTTTATTCTGTCATATATAACTTGAATATAAAATATTAAAAAATATATATTATTTTTTGCCTAGTATGGTTTTTAATCTATTTTGTGATGATGTATGCTCATGTAAACATAATTAAATGTTTATCCATAACTATTTCTATAGTAGTCTCCAAAAGTCTTAAAATGCCATGTCAATTCATTTTCTCATGTAAGAATAACCTCAAAGTTATTTACAAAGTCTTAAAATGCCATGTCAATTCATTTTCTCATGTAAGAATAACCTCAAAGTTATTTACATTAAAAAAATCATTACTGTCCAAAGGTCATAGGCATAAAATAATTTCATTAAATAAAACCCATATAGCTACTTAAGTCCCGGTTTTCATTAAACTATATATCACATCTAGGCAGTCATCTGGTAAGGTATCTTCATATGTTAATAGTCAGATATGACATGGAAAGGAAATCAGCAAAAGAATGAATTATGGTATTGGGTTTTAGTCCCTTGACACCTTTAATAGATTGGCTGTTTGGGGAAAAAATCAAAATGAGGAAGAAATATAGAATAAAATTCCAAAGACTGAAGCTGTATTAAATCATTCTGATATATAGGATATCTGTAGCAGCCAAATAGAAGTCTAAGGTCTCTTTCTTGTTGCTGATTATGTCATTACCACCTTCTTTTTGACTTTTGTCCGTGTCTATCTGCATGCCTCAATTTGTTCTCTGCAAAAGAAATATTTTGAATTTTCTACTTATAGGAGAGTTTTAAGAATCAGTTTAAAGTTGTGTCACTTATACAAGTATGATTAATGAGAGCTAAAAGGTTGGTGAGAAAATTCTGAACGGGTAACAAGAAACAAATTGTTACCTGCTATTAAGTAGAAAATTCAAAAGGTGCTTATTAAATTTAGATATTTTATTTATTTCATTTTGTTTTTCTTTTATTTTCTACTCTGGATTCCTTTTTTTTCTCCCAAAATCTTAAGTGGAAAAATAAACAAAGAAGATAAATGCAGCTGCTTTTGTTGAAGATACATACCCAAGAGCTCTACCTCCTTTTTCCCAGACTGTGTGCCTGAGGAGGTTCTTTGGTTTCAAATAGCAGTATTTGTTTTTATTTTGATTTCATTCATTCATATGCATATATAAATGTATATTTGCAAGTGGTTTGCATGCGGTGTGTAATGTTTATTTGTATGAGATTCAGACTTTCAAACTCTTTTTTCAAATAAGAAATCCAATGGAGTATTGGATGTTTTGGTTTTTTTGTTAGTTTTAATTGATTTATTATTACTTAAATTTTTTAAAATTTCAAACCCACAGGAAAATTGAAAGAATAGTATAGGGAACACTTGTATACCCCTCACCTAGATTCACTGTCTGCTAAACTCTAGCTATACTCACTTCATTTCTCTTTGCACAATACATGTGCATGCTTCTGTGTGCACCTATCCCTCTCATGCACACTACCTTTCTGCCAAACCACCTGAAAGAAGTTAGCATATGTCATAATACTTTACACGTTAATACTTAAACATGCATCTCCTATGAACAGGAACTTTTTCACGTGTGGCCACACCTCCAATACATACAAGGGAGAGTCAACATTAATTCAATAACATCACTCAACACATATTCTATATTGAAATTTTCCCGATTATTTTAATATGTCCTTTATATTTTACAGCCATTCTACTTGTAGAATATCTAGCCATGCCCCAGACCTGGAACTAAGGTGAATTAAGTGAGGTTCCACTGGCACAGAATTTAGGAATACACTCTCAGGATTATACAAGTAAAAATGATCCTGAGAGTTTGTACCTCCTTAAATTTTGAGTATTAAATTTTTAGATACCTTGATGTTACAAAACCGTGTTCTAACCACCTGCCTACCCTTCTGCCTCACCCTAATCCTGGCGCAGCTACTGAATTAGAATCTGTATTTTAATGGGGTGTCCATTGAAACATAAAAACCTTGAGAAACACTACCTTAGCTTGTTCCTTTTTCATTCACCCGTCTAAGATTCAATTATAATTCACGTTTTAGATTCCCGCAATCTAGACCAAACTCTCTCTCTCCTATTCTTTGTGACACTGAATCTTTTGAAAAGTCTGGGTCAACAAGAACACATCATGAGCTATACTATGTTCCTCCCACTGATTCACCTTAGGAGGCATATAATGTCAGATAGGCCATTAATGACAGTGCCAGTCTTGACACCTTATTTAAGGTGGTGACTGACTGCCAGATCTCACTATTTTAAGAGCACGTTTTTTTCTTGGTAATTAGCAAACAAACTTTGGGGTAATTCTTTGAGGACTTGTGAATGTCCTTTTCCTCAATAACCTTATAACCAGCAGTTTTAACATCTAGTCATGAACCTTGCCTGAATGAGTTATTACATTGTTAATCATCAGGTAGTGATATTCTGACAGATTTTTTTCTCTGTATGGAAAATGATACAAGAGCCGATGTCCATTCTCTTGCTTAAGAAAGAAAACTTACATTCATTTGTACCTTTCCTAAAACAAATGTTAATTTAAAAGTTATTATTAGGGTAACAGTTTATTAACAAAGATAGTCATTCAGAATTATAGACTTTTCATCTGTTAAGGGTTACATGCACAGGCTATTGGGACAATCATCGAAAACTGTCTTACAAGATTCCCTTTTTAGAAATAAGAGTTCTAGGATAATTTCATGAAGTACAATAATATCTGTATTTTCTCTTTTTCTCCTTATCTCGCTGAGATGTCTTTCACACTTTTGAGACTGCTTACTAGAATGTTATTAGCATTAAGACAAAAAACACCCCTGAGAAGCTCAAAATTACAATAAGGAACAGAAAGAAGTGAGAGAAGAATCTTATTAGTAGATGGGATATGGAGCATATATGCAAATTGTAGGCATTGAACTAATTTTTGAAAAAAATTTACTGAATTTGAGTTACTCTTTATTATTAAGGTAATATAAAGCATTTGCAGCTGTATAAACCCTTGACCCAAGTTAGATTTCTGTCTTTCTAAAAATGTTTTCACTGATTCAAAGCAAAGAAGCTTTCTCCTAAGTTATTTTTTCCTAACTGACAAAAAAAATTTTCATTCTTAGTAATTTCAGTGTTTTAAAATATTCTCACCTTAGCATTGTTAACAATACACTAGTTTGTACTCAGTTTTCTATTTTTCTTGTTCAAGGAGGCTGAAGAAGTAGACTTCTCTGCTACTTACCTTTTAAAAAAGTGTTTTAGGGTGTTTGGCCTACAGGTTCTAGACAATTGGCCCAAGTCTATTTTGTCAGTCTTATCTACCAAATAACCATTTCTTGCAAATTTATACTCTTGATACCCTAAGCTCCTGCCAGCTTTTCACAATTCCCTTTCACAGTACTTGGCCTCTGAACATATTCCCTCCTCCTGGAATGCTCTTCTCCACTTGTTCAACTCCTATTGATTGTTCAGGATTTCATTCTCTGGTTTCCTCTTCAGTTCCCTAGTTTGCAATGATGAGTTAGTTTTTCCAATAAATCTCTTCTGTAATAGTGTTTTATATCCTAAGTAGGACTCTATATTCACTGTTTAAAGCAGTGTGGTAACATTAGGAGATAAATCTGTAAAATATTGAGTATGTAATAAGCATTCATTAATATTAGTTGATTTTCTTTTCCTTTTTTTCTTTTTTCTTGCTTAGGTCAGACAACTAGATTCAGCATTGGAAATCTGTAAGGAAGAACTTGCCTTGCATTTGAGTCAATTGGAAGGAAATAAGGAAAAGTTTGAGAAACAGCTAAAGAAGAAATCTGAAGAGGTAAATCAGCATTTCCTTTATATATAGCATATTTTTTAAGTGATTTCTTTTTGAGGTATTATTTTCAAGATACTTTAATAAAATTATGTGTTTATGTATCCAATATAAAAAAAAAATCTTTCCAGTAAAATGTAAATTCTAATTTTATGTTCCTTAAAGAACAAGCATTATTTCAATGCAACATAAAATGTGACACCTTAAAATTCTAATTCTTTTACTTATTTGTTAGAAAATCAGAAGAATAAATTATTAATATCAGAGTAATTCTAATGTAAAATGAATAACACTTAGACCATTGTTTTAGGTTTTTATGTTTTTTTTTTTTTTGTCCTTTTTGAGACCGGCTGCACCATGCTCTGTTCCTGAAACTGAACTACCCTTAAGCTTCTCAGTCACAAGGCTCAGTATGTCTCCTTTCTTGCTCAGGTTAATTTCAGTTGGGTTTCTGTCATCTGTACCCAAGATTCCTGACCAATATAAACCTCTCTAAAGTGAGAAAGGGGACCTGTGGAGGACAATGAGTTATTTCTCCAGTGAGCACTGTGAGTGCACCAGTCATCCCTATATAGGATCCGAACCCGCGGCGGGAGCACTGCTGCGCTCCCAGCCCCGCACTCTCCCGAGTGCGCCACGGGCTCGGCCCGACAATGAGTTATTTCTCCAGTGAGCACTGTGAGTGCACCAGTCATCCCTATATAGGATCCGAACCCGCGGCGGGAGCACTGCTGCGCTCCCAGTGCCGCGCTCTCCCGAGTGCGCCACGGGCTCGGCCCGACAATGAGTTATTTCTAATGTATGTATTTGGTGGGAATTTGGATAAGTGGTAGCCCTGTTTTAGATTTAGAGGTATAAAATTCTTCAAAAATTTTCCATTTTGTTTTTGTTCCTTCTAATTGTTTGAAAGATTGAGAATTAGTTTTAGAAATTCAACTTTCTTTATTGAGATGAGTTTCTCAGATACTAGATTGAAGACTTTTCTTGAGTTATTCATCTCTATATCCTCAGTGTATAGCACTTTATTTTTAACATAATAGGCACTCACTAAATATTTGTTCAAAGGGATAATCTTAATGAAGAATTCCTTTAATTCTTTGTTAGAATTTATAATGTTTGTATTTTAACCTTGAATTCATTTTTAGAAATAGTCCCCAATGAGTCTTAGTCAAGGTTGTCCTGAATATATCAGGAAGGTCCAGCCAGAGAAATAGAAGCCCTTATATATCTTTCAAATGGAGGGAATTTTATACAGAGAATTAGATACACAGGTGATGGAAGAGTGGAGAAATCAAACAGCATACTAAGGCAATTCAGAGATGACCATAAGCAGGGACCTACTACCATCCTTAGGGCTAGAGGAACATCCGGAAGAGATGGTGCAACCATAGGCAAGAAGCAGTGGTACTTAGCTGGAGCTGAGACCAAAGATAATGTGTCTGTCTTGTAGAAACAGGGGTAGTAGAGGAGAACTGCAGCTACTGGCCACTATCGTTGGCCAAGCTTATCTGTAACCTGGAGAGCAAGGGAGGCTAAGAAATGCAGTTTACTGGGAGCACTTACTGTATTTTATGGAGTGAAGCATTGCCCAATTCTAGAATCACAGCAAAGCTAATTGAGATCTTCAAAAAAAGAAAGAAAAAAAAATACAGTTAATACTGCAGTACATAGCAGAACAGGGGAAAGGCAGAAGTATATCTCAGAGCAAATATGTAGTTGACCAGCACTCCAGACTTTGGGTACATCCTGTAATTATATAAATAAGGTGACTAACTTAAAAGCTCATCTGTCACTTGCTTAGGTATATTGATAAGAAACATGGAGAAGAATCCAAATACTATTTACTTTTAACTTATTTGTTTTTAGAGCAAATTATAATGTCTTAACAGAGAAAACTCTTTCTAATACTGGTTAATATAATTATTACCTAGAAACAGCAGAGTTGTGAGATTTGCATCACGTATAGCTAGGTTTAGAAAATTTGATTTATAGTACATCCATTCTGTTAATAATAGGTAATGTTATAAAGATGTTTTAATCTTTTTAATCAGTGAGTATGTTCAAATCACATAACTAGCTGAATAATTAAGTGGCCCTAGAACATACTTGTAGGAATTTAGCTAGTTGTAAAAACTGTGTGTTAATTATCCATTGCAAAAAGCTAATATGTATTCCTCTGACCTTTTGCCTCAGGCAAATATTCTCTTCCTGGTGGTGAAATAAATGCATTTATGTTTGAAATAATGCTGACTTTGGGGTTCTGCATTTTTAGAAAATATTTTAATTCCAAATTAAAATGTTTTTTTAAATGCTTTTAAAAATGATAAAATCGTGTTTATGCAAAAGTACATTGTCAACATGATCGAACAAAATAGATGTGAATAAGCCTAAATGTTTTCTGCATAAAGAATTTATTCAATAAAATCAGGCATTATATCACATTTCTGCATTATATTTTATTTTTAAGCAATGATTATGAGAGTGCTTCTGCTTTGGATACACATTAATACTAGATAAAGTGCAGTGTAAAATAGATTTTATAATCTAAATTCTACTTTCTTACTGACTTTAATTATAAAATAATGAATCCTCTGGAAAAAGTTTATTCTCTGAATACAATATACTTTAATAGAGAATATAACGTAAAAATGATTTGTCCTATATTTATGTTTAAAGTAAAGCCAACTGGAAGTTAAAGGACAGTGTAATGAAAAGTCAGTATGAATTTGATATATGCAGGTTATATTTGTGCATTAGTATTTGTGATATAACTAACATTAGATACTTCAATATGTGTAATTGAAATTTTGACAGTTGTTAGATGATTGAGATAAGATTTTGTTGCTATTATGTAGTATGGCTTTCTTGGTGTTTTGGTAGGTCTTTTCTTTTTTTCTTCTATTTTGTCTTATTTTAATATTTTGTCCATTTTTTTCTCTGATTAGGAAAGTAACTGTGAGACAGGATGTTCCAGTAAAGAAAAAATAGTATTTTAACCTGTCTTGTAGGCAAGTCAGTTCTATATGAAATAAACCACTGCAGAAGTATGATCTGCAATTTAGTTAGGAGCTTAACAGAGAAACAAAACATGTGATACTGAAACATATTTGTACTAAATTAGATTCATACAGACAGAATTAAGTAAAACAAATTAGCATAAAAAGGAATATAATAGGATTAGAAATTGGTTAGTTGCTTGTGATATCTAGGGTTACTCCAAGTTTATAACATGATCATATAATGCAGGAGCCTGAAATCTAAGAGTTTCTCATCACGAGCAAAGAGTGTTTGTCCCCTAAGGTCTTTATAGTGCTGCTGAATGTTTAGCTGCTAAATAATTAGAAAAAAGAACCAGTTAGTGATTCTCTTCCACTGTTTCTTATAAGGACTAAAATTCTTATCTCTGGAATGATATTTATTGGAAAGATTCTTTGCTTTAAAGATTCTGTGCTTTAAAGGAATGGCTTTATTTTCCTTCATTAAAAAAAAAATTATTATATAAGCAATAATAAGAAAACTTTTAAAGAAAATATACCTCCAACCCACTCTCTAATACTTCAGTTGTCATTTTTCTATTTGCATTTATATTTTTCATAATAATGAAATGTGATTTTTAGCTTAATTTTATTTTATAAAATTTTATGTTTGCCATTATCTTTTAAATTATGATTTTACATGGTTTGCATCATTTTCAATCAGATTGATGTATCATCATTTATTAAATCTTTCCCTTACTTTGGGAGGAGGTGAAGAATATTATAAAATATAATTTAAATTATTCTTCTTGGTTTACACTATTTTAAAAATAATTTCTGTTGGTAGATTTTTAGGATTCGGATTACTAGGACAAAAGACAAAAAATGTAGATGCTTCCAGGTAACTTTCAAGGTATCTTTTAGAGCAATTTGGAAGACCAGCGTATTCAAGTCCTAAATGTTAGGAGTGAGTGAGTGAAATTTCTTAGTTGGTAGTGTCATTCCTTTCTGTATTTTCTGGAGCTTGAATATTCAGGTGTGCTTTGCTAGGATATTATTTTATAAACAACAGCAATAATAGCAATAATGTATAAGTAGCACCTAATATTTATGCAGTGCTTTCATGGCTATAGTTTATTTTCAGTAAGGGGGGAAGATGCATCAGGTGGAGCATAGAGAAATCCATGGCTGCCCATGTTCTTTCCTCCTTCTGGGAGGGGTCACACAGAACATGCTCCTTTTTGTAGTAATGGAACATGGCAATGTGTACAATGTTTCTGTCTGGGGAAGCTTGTTTGTGACTCAGTGTTTAGGGTGTTTATTGGGGCCTGATAGGAACAATGACCCACCTACCAATATCAAAATTCCAAGACTCCCAGAAAAAAAAAAAGCATGTTTTAGTGCCCCAGCCAAGCAAAACAACCTCCTTACTTAGGAACATTTTCAAAAGCCACATTCCCTGATATAAACTAAGAGCCAACCGTATAAGCGGGCCCTTCAGGTACATCTCCCCATTTTAAAAATGAACCCTGCCCTTCCACATGATACACTATAGCTGTGAGTACAATTGCCCCACATGGCAAGTGGGAATAATAATCTAATAAGGACAGCTTTAACATTTTATTGCTTTTTATTTGAAATGTTTCATTGTAATGGGAAATATATGTATTTGTTAGGTATATTGTTTACAGAAAGAGCTAAAGATTAAAAACCACAGTTTTCAAGAGACCAGTGAGCAAAATGTCATTCTACAGCATACTCTTCAGCAACAGCAGCAGATGTTACAACAAGAGACAATTAGAAATGGAGAGCTAGAAGATACTCAAACTAAACTTGAAAAACAGGTATATTTTATTAGACAAAAATGTATGAAATACAATTTTATTTGTATGAAATAGAAATTTTTAAAATCATTAGTATATTTTTGGTTAGTTGTATAAATTGCTATTTAACCTCAAAGATTTCACATTTCAAGAAATAGTCTATATTAATATTATAAAATAGATAAAGTTCTATTCCTATGTAATCTGACCTGAATCTCTAATACTGTGGCCACATGTTTGTCATTTCATACAATTTAGTATAGTTTTTTTTGGCTGGTCATTATGGGGATCCGAACCCTTGACCTTGGTGTTATCAGCACCATGCTCTACCTGATTTAGGTATAATTTAGACATCTTTATTCAATTTCTCTTTTCTTCTTGGGCCCAAATGTAACACCTATCTGAATCATTCTTCTTTCTAATTTCTCCTTTTTGGATAAGGACATGATATATTCCCTGAAGAAATGGCAAAGCAGTGCACAAAAAGAAAACCCCAAAGGAAACTAGCCCTGCTATTTAGTCCTAAAAATAAATTATTACTCCAACGAAAGAGTCCTAGGGAATTTTATATTAGAATCTAATCTTTTTTCTTTCATTCATTACCAAATTTGCCTAAATTCTTTAGACAGATATTTTATGTTTTTCTTTTTTTCTTTTCAAAAGAAATCAAATTTACAGGAATGTATAAATTAGAAAATGATAGTTCTCTTGTTATCCTACTATATAACTTACCCTTTTGTCGTTTGTCTGGTCTTTATCTACTTTTTCTGAATTCATCCTCAGCCTCTCCAGTGGAACTAAAGAATCTCCTCTGAATATTCAAACACATCAGTCAGATATCCAGTATTTTCTTTTTTAGAGACCTTTTTCTGTGGCTTTCCATCCCCTTTTTGTTAAAGTCTAGACCTAATGCTTGCTATGTCTGCTGTAAGCTTCATTCTGAAGCATTTCTTCATCTCATCTGTGTTTCATTCCCGCTACCTAAATCCCTTGTCATTGACTCTAGTTTTTGCAGGACTGATCATGATTCTTGTTCCCTTTAAGGAGGGAATAGGTTTTTTGATGGTTCCCTTCCCTTTTTACCTCGGTACTGTTTTAATTTTATTCTTGGAACTTAAGTTGGAGGAGTTGATATTAATGGTTTATAATCTGTATTTAGTTCTTCAGTAAGGGCTTTTAGAAGAGCAAGGAGGATATTAAAGTCAGAAGCCAGAGTTTATCTTTCAGACCACAGTCATATAAGTGTTTATTGAAAACACAAAGTGACTGAGATTACCTAGGGAGAGACTATAGAATGAGATGCGAGAAGTTTGACTTGTACAAATCTCTGAGGGATATGATCCATGGAAGCCAAGGTAAGTATTTCATGAAGGAAGTAATGTCAATTAGTGTCATGGGCTGCTGAAATCCATGACAATGTAAAATGTAAAATGAGGGTTGGGAAATGTTCACTGGAATTAGCAACTTGGAGATCAATTGTGATGGGTGTCATGGGCTGCTGAAATCCATGACAATGTAAAATGAGGGTTGGGAAATGTTCACTGGAATTAGCAACTTGGAGATCAATTGTGATGTAATTGCAGTTTTTTATGGAATGGCCAGATCACTATGGGTTGAGGAATAAATGAGAAGTGAGACAATGATACAGCAAGCATAGAAAACTCTGAGAAGGTGGGCTATGAAGGTGAGGAAAGAAAGGGTGGTAGCTGGAGGAGGTAGTGGTGTGAAGGTAAGTTCTTTAAAATGGGAAGGTCTTGAACATGTTTAAATGCTAATTTTTAAAAAAACAAAAAAACAGTAGAAAGAGAGATTAAAGTTGTAGGAGAGAGCAGAGATAGTCAGTTGTGTGAGGTTCCTGAGAAAGTGGATAGGAATTGAATCCAGAACACCCATGAAGCAAATAGACTTATACAGGAGGAAGAATACATCCTTTATGTAGTAGAACAGAAGAAAGAATGGATAGGAACAAATGCAAGTTGTATTGAGAGCAAAGGCAAGTTGTAACGTTTGAAGTCAGTTGGGAATCTGGGAATTCTCGAATGAGCCAATTTGTGAAGAAGGAAGGGAGCATAGTTTGACAAGAGAAGAAAACGTTTCAAATGAAGAAAAGGACAATTCAAAGCAGAATATTTACTATTATTTTGTTCAATTATTTTATGTCCCATTTTAGTGTTATGATGTGGCCATTTCTCTGAATATGAGAAGTATATGAATGAAATATCTTTATTATTAAAAAGTAAGCTTTGCTTTCATATTTTCAGAATGTTACTTCCTGGTCTATTCTTTGATTTTTATAATATACCTTGGAATTGAATGATAGGCTAGACTACATGTTTATAAAAGTATTTTTCTTCTGAATAATACTGAGCTGTGATTGAATTTAAAATATTTACTGAAAATGACTAAAAGGTATCAAAACTGGAACAAGAGCTTCAAAAACAAAGGGAAAGTTCAGCTGAAAAGTTGAGAAAAATGGAGGAGAAATGTGAAGCAGCCACACATGAAGCAGACTTGAAAAGGCAAAAAGTTGTTGAGCTTAGTGGTACTGCCAGGTAAGATGTCAATATGTTAGTTTTATTTACCTTACCATTTAAAAATCAGTAGTATCTGAGTTTCAAAATCAGGTATTGTTCAGTGAAACGTTTGCATGAGAAATTAATTTATCCATAGTCCGTGTTGCTATAGCATTTTGTTTGTGTCTCCCTCATGTTCTTCATTATGCCTTCTGTTTTTTGGGTTGTTTGTATTATAGGTTAATACTTTTAACCTTCCTACTATTTTGTAAGTTCCTTAAGTCAAGGATCATACTGGTTTGTTTTAAGGTCCTCCAGAACAACTAACAGTTTCTTATACCTCACAGGTACTCAGCAACTGTTATATTAAACCGTGAATAACATTAAAAGTTGCAGGCAAAGAGGTACTCATCATATAGAGAACACTTTTAGGGGCTGTAATTATATATGGGAGGAAGTAACTTAATAAAGTAAAACAGTGGTCCTTGGCCTTGGCTGAACATTAAAATCACCTGAGGAGCTTGTAAAAAGAATACTGAAGCCTGGGTCCCACCTTTAGATCAAATCATATCTAATGATTCTGATTTAATTTGGCTGGACTGGGCTCATGAGCTGAAAGCAATAACCAGCTTCCCCAGATCCCTTCTTTGTCAACAATTGAAATAATTATTAATAGAGTCATAATTTGCCCACACTTCTACCAACAGGAGTCGAGTGAATTTATGCAATGTGATTCAAACCACATGTCCCGAGATTCCTTCTCCCTCATTTACAGGGGTTAAGATAGAGCCTTTATGCTCAGAGTAGCAATTTGCATCCCCAGATGTACAGTGAATTTATGCAATGTGATTCAAACCACATGTCCCGAGATTCCTTCTCCCCCATTTACAGGGGTTAAGATAGAGCCTTTATGCTCAGAGTAGCAATTTGCATCCCCAGATGTACAACTCCACCCTCTCAATAGGACCAAGATGGTATCCCATGTTTGAGGCTAAGACCGTAGTTCTTCAGACCTTCTTTCTTCCATTGACAGATGTCTACCCACTGACACAGCCTTACCACTGCTGTCTACCTTGAGTCCACAAAGACTAATCACATTATAATTTCATCCTTATTTATGCCAGCTACCACAAGAAGCCCTAGATTTCCAGGTCAACTCTCATCTCTCACACTAATTTCCAGAAAGCTCTCCTTATATTCTGTTCCTTTCTCCCACCCCATCCCAACTTCTGAAAGAGTTCCATTGTGCCCTCTGGAATTCAAAGACAATCCTGAGAGACATCACCTATACTCTTCACTTCTCCTTTTCTCTTGCTGTAACAGAAACCTGACATTCCCCTGAAGACATTGTTTCTTTCCCTGAAGGCTCTAAGGTAAAAACTTCCCCACAGCTCTTGTACCACAGAGTCAGGACATGGAGTAGTGTACCATATACTCCCTGAACCTCAGGTCATTGAATCATATCATCCCTTACTGTTGCTGACACCTATAGACCGTCTGACTTAACTGTTGCTCTCTCCAGTACCACTTCTGTCATTATACTCAGAGATTTCAATATATATCTGTCTGATCTTCTGACACGGTGGCTTCTCAGTTTTTATAATTTCTCTCCATCGATGATCCTGATCTCTATCATACTTCAGCCACTCACTCTCATAGTTTACCTTAAATCTTATTCCCAATGTCTACATGTTCTCCAAACTCTGAATATTATGCACCTAACTCTATGTTATTGCTTCATTCCCTCTAATACCCCAGATCCAACAATTCTTTGATCCAAACAGGACCACTAATCCATTGATTCCACCATTGTCTCATTCCCTGATGCCCTCTCTCCTTTCTTTACCGGGCTTTAATTCTAGTTAGTCATTAAAATCACTAATTTGCATATACCCACAAGTCCCTTACCCCTTTCTTTGTGGTAGACAGCATTGAGTTAAATCCAACTCAGACTACTCCAAGCCTGCATCTTTACAGAGGCTGGAGAAAATATAGCCATGTTGACTAGTCTCACTTTAGATTTTTAATTCGTAACTTCAAACCTTCAGTGTTCCCTTAATGCTGCTTGGCAATCATAATATTTTTCACTCTTGTTTTTCATGTTTGTTTACTTTTTTTTTTTAGCTGCTGGTTAGTACAGGGATTAAACCCTTATTTTTCACTCTTGAAGAAGTTTGTTTTACACCTTTGCCTCTTCTTTCAAAACTCCAACAACTTCTCCCAATCCTTGCTCTAACTGATCTTGCTTTCTGCTTCACTGAAAAAACTGAAGCAATTGCTTCTTCCTTTTTAACCCCACTTTTTTGACTTCTAGGCAAAAAAACTTCCTGATTATAGCTAACAGGCACATTCAATAAGAAAAGTTAGTCCTAAATGCTAATAGGAAGCTTATGAACTAAATGATGAAAGTTTATAAGAAACATGTACCATGGTTCCAAAGAAATCTTCTCTTCGTGAAGGGGTTTTCTCTGTTTCCACTGTTAATTCTTTCACTTCTAGAACTACAATTTATAAAATTCTTTTTCTTCCTCAAAGGTATTAGACTTAAAATATATCTGTATATGTGTCCTTAGATCTGTTTTAGAGTTAAAATATCTTCAAATAAAAAATTAATTTATTGAGCACCTTTTGTGTGCCAGGTAATGTACTGGGTAGACACATTTACTCATTTAACCTCAAAACAGCCCCGTGATATAGTTTTATTATTCATGTCTTTAAAATAAGAAAACTGAAAATCAAAGAAGTTAGGGTATGAGATGTACAATTTAGACATTTTCTAAAACCAGAGTTTTTTTCTATTTCACAATCACTAAAAGGTTCTTGTGGTCCTGCATATAAATGTCACTGAATGTGAATGATCCTGACCCTGGTTTCTCAGTGCTGAGGCTCATGTAGCATTTGATAGATTTCTCAGACTGCCTCCATAGCCATTTTTTAATCTTTTGTACATTTGAAGAAGCCAGAGAGTCTCAGTCAGTATTACTTTTGCATAAGTTAAGTATTAGTTTTATAAAAGGTCAGTATTACTTTTGCATAATTCTTCCTTTGGCCCTGTTTCCAGTCTCAGATTTGATTACCTTCAATGACTCTGGGACAAGGAGGTGAAGTATTTCTGGAAAAACTAGTTGATTTAAAGTCTGTGATGATATTTTAAAAGTTATGGGAAAATTTTAAGGATTGGATTATTTGTGTAATAGTTAAAAATTTTTTAAGTCCTTAAGTATTTGTTATATTGTTGTAATGTCTAATTTACTCAACATTGGCAAGGAATGAACAGTTGCTCATAAATGAAAAAATAAAGGTGGAGTTTATCTCTATCAAGTATTGAAACTTTAAAACAAAACAAAACCAAAAACATTTTTTGGTAGAAATTTTCTAAAACATATTTTTTCTTGGCATTTTTACCTTGTCTGGTTGTCTCAGTGTTATTGTTATATACATCGGTTATTATACCATGCCAAAATATAAATGAAACCTTGAGGCATATAGAACTGTTTGTTTTTTTACTAAAGTCTGTAGACTGCTGTGCTTTTTGAGTTCTTGTATGTGTTTTTTATAATTTTTCCCCAACTCCTTTGCTGACAGACTGTCAGCTCTTGGCACTGTATGCAAACCTCTTTTTAATTATTCTCTAATTATCTGTTTTACATCTACTCTAATATTAGAAGGTAATTGGTTTAGCTAAAAATTGTTTACCTGGGATTTTAGAAATGTAAAGGGGTCATAAGCACTTATCTAATCTAGTTGTTCTTAACTTAGTTGGGCCATGGGCAAATTTGAGGATCTAATGAAAAGTATAGATTGTTTTCTATACATAGGTGTAGATGTACGTACATAGTTTTGCATATTGTTTAAGGGATTTTATAGTTTTCAGGTTCACTTATGGACCTCAGGTTAAAAACCCTTTGAAACAAATCCAAATGTGTCTATGTTGCATTTACAAAAGAAATGTTCCGACTGGCAAATGGCAAACTCAATTTAGGAAATTTCAAAGACCACAAAAACAAAACCAAAATGTTGACACAAAGGAGCATCGACTCTGTTCACCATTGAGAATAACATTAGAAATTGTTTAATTAATGAATATCACCTTAGAATTACCAACAAATGGACTTAAAACTGCCTTTCAGTATGTTGATTTGTTTATAGATAAAGGAGCTTTCCTACTGGAATAACCTCAGGACTCACTGAAAATTGGTAAATCTGGCCCTATGACTATTATTAACTAGGCGTATTATCTTAGATAATTCACCTAACCACCCAGTTTCCTCATCTGTAAGGCAGGAGAGTTGCACTAGTCTAGGAATCTCTAGTCCCTTTTATTTAATTAATTAACTTATTTATTTGGTGGCTGGCCAGTACTGGGATCCGAACTTGTGACCTTGGTGTTATAAATCTGCGCTGTAACCAATTAAGCTAACCAGTCAGCACTCTAGTCCCTTCAAAGCTAAAAAAGATAATATTAGTAATAAAGATCTGAGTAAAAACAACTGACTTGGCTCTTCTGTGAGTAGTATGGTCTTTATGATGAATAATTTGATTGCTTGGCTTCATTATTGTATGTGTTACAGATAATAGAAATTACAGATAAGTGAGGTCCCTATCCCTGGATGTTCAGTACATACAAACCTAGAGTTAAATGTAGTTAGATTGAAAAGAATGCTAGCCTTGTTAAATACTATCAGGTAGTACAGTTGTAATTAGTGGTATGTAATTTGTCAAGAATTATAATCTTTTAGTAGGAGAATTTTTAAAAATGTAGTAGGTGATTTAAGATTCTGACTAGACATTTTGCTAATATTTGTCCTTATATAATTTGTAGACTTTGTTTAGTCAGAGACAAGCTAGTTGGTTTTTAAATTTCCAAATTACCTGATTTATTGTTTGTTTTTAATTAGGCAAGTAAAACTTGAGATGGATCAGTACAAAGAAGAGCTGTCTAAAATGGAAAAAGAAATAATGCACCTAAAACGAGATGGAGAAAATAAAGCAATGCATCTCTCTCAATTAGATATGATCTTAGATCAGACACGGACAGAACTAGAAAAAAAAACAAATGCTGGTAAGCAGCAGGTTAGCTGAGCTTAGCTACCTGCCTGTTTGTACTGAAGAAGTGGAGTAAAGTAAGAATTTGAGGTGGCGGGGCTGGAAGGGACAATGAATGGTCAGTATTTTGCCTCTTATAGATGAATAAGATTGGATATTCTTAATTATAATTATTTACAAAGTTCGTAATAACAACTGTTATATATAGTTCTAAAATTATTCTCTCATTAATAGTGAAGGAGTTAGAAAAGTTACAGCACCACAATGAAACTGAACTAACAGAAGCCTTACAGAAACGGGAGGCATTAGAGACTGAACTACAAAATGCTCATGGAGAATTAAAAAGTACTTTAAGACAACTTCAGGAATTGAGAGATGTATTACAGAAGGCTCAGTTATCATTAGAGGAAAAATACACTACTATAAAGGATCTCACAGCTGAACTTAGGTGAGTTAAATAATAAGAAATGATATCACAATTTACAGGTATCTCTCTCTATTACTCTGAGTCCTTGGATCATACAATAAAATTTGTTGTTGAATTCTAGATGTCCAAACTTCTCAACTACCTTTGGTTCACTGTGACTCATTCTAGTTCAGTCAATCCCATGCTTTGTCTAAATAATTCAGCTGTTGCTACTGGCTGCAAATACTTCTATCCTCAGTCTTTGGACCATTTTACACTGGCCCTAGTGGTAAAAGAAGATTGGGCAAGCATACAGCAGTGCCAATAGCAAAATAATATTAATAATTATAATATTGTTCTTTGTATTAAGGCTTTATTTATTTATTTATTTTTATAATTTAAAACTGGTTAATTTTATTTGTGAATTTTACCTCAATTAAAAAAAAAAAAAAACTGAGAGAAGAAGATTCCGCAATAAGATGACAAAGGGGAAGGAATGATTGGGAAAAAAAAATTTTTTTCTATGCACTTGAGTATCTCCTGGAACAATTAAAATTTTTTTGACAAGGGAAGTGACAGGACCTGACATTTGGGAAAATAATATTGCCAGAGCATAAAAGGTTCATTGAAGAGGGAAGATATTTCAATCATAGGCAGTGATCAGCCTTTTATTCATTTATTTTTTTTGTAAACATAAAATAATTTTATTATGTATTTATTTTTAATGGTATATAATAGGGCTTTATTGCAAAGTGAAAGTACATGCTGAACATCCCTGCAATGGAAAAATGCACATGTGCCCCTGGATTCTTAGGGAGAGGCTTTTTATGTTGATCTGGGTCAGGGGTGTTTCTCTCTTTTTTAAAAAAATTAATTAATTTAGTATTATTTTTTTACATTCTAAGATATTATGGAGCAGTTGTGGGGGAGGGGAAGAGTAGGAAGGGGAGGGGAATATGGTAGGAGGAGGAGGAAGGGGGGGCATTGTTGAGACCTGTGGCACTCCCCTCATTCCATCAGGGGAGCCCTGGGAGCTTTCAGCAGCAGCTTGGTGGTCGTTGCTGGACTGGATGTAGACATTGGGGTGGCACGGCTAAGTCCCTTGGCCCCCTCCACCCTGGCTTGGGCACCCAGGGTGCTTCCGTAAGCCTTTATTTTGTGCCAGGACTATATCAGGGAGTTCACATATGATTTCTTTCATTTCCTTACAACAAACCTATCAGATACATGTTACCATCTTTTTATAGTTGAGAAAAATGAGACTTGAGAAATTAAGTAAAATGCTCAAAGTCATACAGGTAGTAGGGTTTAGAGAAGGGAGTTAAACACAAGTCTGTCTAATTCCAAAGTCTGGGTTCTTAGAATACTAGTGATAACATAAAATGGTATGCCAGCATACATCTATAGTGAGTGAACGTAGCGAGACAGACCAGAGCCAAAGTATGAGTACACACAGCAATCAGTAACTCGTCAGTATTTGAGCCAGCAACCTTGCTGTGCCACAAATCTTTATCTTACAACAAAGACTTTGTAGCCTGAGGAAAATTTCCAGTCCTCCGCAAGGTCAATATTTGAAACTGCAAGGCTTTGGAAAAACAGGCCCTGCGAAGTACATTTGCTTTAAGAATATTCCACAGTGTGATATTTCAATGCATGTGTATGGTATGTAATGATCAAATCAGGGTAGTTAATATATCCATCACCTCAAATATTTATCATTTCTTTGTGTTGGTAACATTCAAAATCCTCTCTTCTAGCTATTTGAAAACATACAGTGAATTATTGTTTACTATAGTTACCCTTCAGTGCTATGGAACATTAGAACTTATTCCTTCTAGCTAGCTGTAATTTTTATATCCCTTAACTAACTGCTCCCTATTCCACCCCCGACTCTGTGCCCTTGCTTTTAATTTATAGGAAAGGTAACCTGGTTGACCTAACTTTTTAAAATCGTAATATTTCTGCTATCTGCTTGATCATTTTCTGTTCATAAATTGCAGAGAATGCAAGATGGAGATTGAAGACAAAAAGCAAGAACTCCTTGAAATGGATCAAGCACTTAAGGAGAGGAATTGGGAGCTAAAGCAAAGAGCAGCTCAGGTTGATTTTCTTAACTATATTTTAATATAACTTTTTGGGGGTGGGTGGGGGAGCTGGCCATTTCAGGGATTGAACCCTGGACCTTGGTGTTACCAGCACCATGCCCTAACCAACTGAGCTAAGTGGCCAGCCCCCTTTTAGTTATATTTTAGTGGAATTTTCTATTACGACACAATCACACAGGATCACTAATTTTTGGTAAAATGGGTATTTTTTGGAGCATATTTCTTTTTCTTTGCACAGAAGTATTTTTTATTGTAGAAGTATGTCATCTCTCTTAATCTGATTTTTTTATAGCAAGTAGATTTTGAGATAGTACCTCTTATCTTACTACATATCAGAGGAAAATGGGGTTAAAGGAGTTACTATTTCAGCTAAGTGTTGGAGCAACAACAATATCCATAAGGCATTAGAGATTTTAATCCAGCATAAAATGAAGTCTGAACCATTTTTTTTGGTCATTTATGAACATAATCATATCTTACTAAGTTTCTGTAATTTAAATGAGGCTCATGAACCAGTATTAGTAAATAATGATAATTTTTCCCATTTTTAAAAATAATTTACTTGAGACATTTATGCTTCAGTTATAACTATTATAAACAATTCCAAAGCACATTCCAAGCACACAAATTTTCACATCAGAATAAAATTGAACAGTAGTTTAAAGTTATTTTTTTATATAGGTTACACATTTGGATATGACTATTCGTGAGCACAGAGGAGAAATGGAACAAAAAATAATTAAATTAGAGGGTACTCTGGAGAAATCAGAACTGGAGATTAAAGAATGTAACAAACAGGTAAATTATTTTTAAATTACATATTTTAAGTTGTTCAGAGAAAAATCACTCCTTAACTATACCCATTCACATAATACAGCTTTTTTATAGGATACATACAATTAAAACATTACATAATTTTAATCATCTTGTACATGTTACTCCATATTCATTTATCTCCTCTTAATATTATTTTGAATATAATTTTTCTTCTTTCAATATGTCCACATATTTATCATAATGTGCGCACCACTGAATATGTATGAAATATCTCGGAAGGATTTGCAAGTAATTCTGGTAAATGTGGTTGCTTCTGAGGAAGGAACACAGTGGGAAGAAGATTTTGTTTTCTCTAACTATATTTTTTACCTCATACACATATTACTTTTAAAATAATTCATAAGGTCATGTAACATTCTTTGTTTTAATACATCCTAATTTTCTATTCTTATACAAATGTGATTGAGACTTTCATCTTTTCCAGTATATTTTCTGTGTACATATTAAGCACAAGAATTTCCAAGTTATGGTGTTCAAAAAAAACACCTTTTTATACTTTGCCTTTTGATCTTTTAGATATGAGTGTTTAAAGCTTAACTTACTTGGGACATAGATATGATTAAGTTTTTTCTTAGTTACATCTATTTGTTCATCTGTTTAAAATTTAGATAGAAAGTTTGAATGAAAAATTGCAAAATGCCAAAGAACAGCTTCGAGAAAAAGAGTTTATAGTGCTACAAAATGAACAGGAGATAAGTCAACTGAAGAAAGAAACTGAAAGAACACAACAAAGGATGAAAGAAATGGAAAGTGTAAGCAAATTATTTTCCACCTAAGGAACAAGTAGCATTCTCTGAAGAGTGGAATGAATGTTTATGTTTTAAACTGGTTGGTTTTAATATACAGAAACTGTGCCACAGGTATTTTTAAGCTAATTACTTGTGCCAGATACCTATTAGTTTTTTGACCTTTTAAAATATTTTGAATGAATGTTTATGTTTTAAACTGGTTGGTTTTAATATACAGAAACTGTGCCACAGATATTTTTAAGCTAATTACTTGTGCCAGATACCTATTAGTTTTTTGACCTTTTAAAATATTTTATTCTTTTTTTTTTTTTTTGGTCTTGGTGGCTGGCCAGTATGGGGAATCTGAACCCATGACCTTGTTGTTACCAGCACCATGCTCTCCCAAGTGAGCTAACCAGCCAGCACAAAATATTTTATTCTGATGATCTAGATATAGGCAAGGGCAATGTCTTATTTATCTTTGCATTCCCTACAGTTCTTGGCCTGGTATCTCTTCACATGGTAAATTCCCAATGTATGCTCATTTGGTCAACAAATATTTATTGAGAATCTACTATGTAAGAGAATTAAAGATACAGATATAAATATAATACAGTCTTTTGTCCCTGAGGAATCCATCCAGAGAATGGATAAACAAATGATAATTTGTTTATTGAGGCCAAGTGCATGAAGTTGCCAGATGAAGTCTGATGATTTCAGATCATCAATTTGCATGTATGATATCACTCATTCCATCCACTTGCCTTTTTAAAAAGTGAATTTTTTTCTTGAGCCCTTGTAGATGTAGCCTTTTTTTGTTTTAAATGTTTAACTTTAAAACTTCAGATTTAGCTCTTCATTGTGTTGGACTGATTATCTGTCTTCCACTGTAGAATATAGACTAACTTAACATTCACTGATTTTGTTTTCTCTGTGAAGCAGTACTTTACTAGGGATATAACTGAGTAATATAAAAAAATATTTCAGAGGGAGTAGCAGCCCCCGAGACAAGTTACACTTTCATAGATAATAAGGTCATGACCTTAACCCAGCTGTGTAGATTAATGGTGGATTTTGATTATCCATGCCAACATATTCTCCATCTTTGACATGGATAATCAAATGTTAACTTCTTCTTTCTCTTTATATTATTATGTATTGTCATAAATGTTACATTCATAATGATAAAGATTTATACAGCTTGTATATTAGTCATACAAAATATATCAATGAGTCCCAGATTTATTCCAGTACTTTTGTCATTTTCTTTTTTTTTTTTTCATTATTTTAATTCTCTGTTACTTTATTTATTTATTTTTGGTGGCTGGCCAGTACTTGGCATTTTCTTATCACTAAAAAAAAATTTTTTTTTCTAAATTTCAGTTTCACAGTGAGTGATACTCATTGTAAAATTTTATAGGGGTTTAGTTGGGAGGGGGAAATTCACTTATTAAAAGAGAAATCGGAATAAGAAATAAGTTATCTATATGTTTCATTTTGAAACCTACAAATATCTTATGCTTTTCAGGTTTTGAAAGAGCAGGAACAGTACATTGCCACTCAGTACAAAGAGGCCATAGATTTGGGTCAAGAATTGAGGGTGACCCAGGAGCAGATGCAGAACTCTCGTACAGAGTTGGTGGAGGCTCATCGTCAACAAGTTCAAGCACAGAGAGAAATAGAAAGGCTCTCCAGTGAACTGGAGGATATAAAGCAGCTCTCTAAAGAGAAAGTAATCCCTATTTGATAAAATTTTACATTATTGAAAACATTAAAAATTTTAATATTTGCTTTCTTAAATTTTAGAATATAGTTTACAGAGATGAACTGTGTTGCACAACAAAATGAATTAATGCCATAGAACTGTATACTTAAAAATAGTTAGAATGGTAAATTTTATATTGTGTATATTTTACCATAATTTTAAAAAGAAAAAAAGTTAACTTTTATATTTAGATAACTTTGTAAATATAACTAGGAATTCCTTTAGAACTGAGTTTTGCCCAAACTAATTAGTTCTCAATAAATTGAGGTAGAAAGCACATTTAGACTTTCAAGTGAGTTTGAGCTATCATCTGAAGAAAAAATAAAGCCAATAAATCTTTTTTCAGTAAAAGTTTTACATTTGTAGCCACTCTTATAAATGCAAACTGACTGTACAAATTTCTAACTGTTAGAAAACATGGAGTTTAAAACTCTTTGGGAGGTAAAGTGCTTTTAAAAAGCAAGAGTACTTATATAAATTTAATTTCCCTAGTGTGAGGTAGGAAGGTAGTTTGGTTTAAGAATATTTAGATTGGTATACTTGTGTTAATATCGGTTATACTTAGATTTTGAGAAAAGTGTGTTTATGATGTTCCAGAAAAGTTGTGATTTTTCTGCCTTCTATTATGGTTACTAATTCAACATATTTTTACCTTTAATTTTCATTAAGCCTAACTATGTTATTCACATTTCTGGGTGGTTAAACTAATATGAGGGCCGGCCCGGTGGTGCACTGGATAGTGCGCCGCTTGGGAAGTGTGGCGGCACTCCCGCCCGAGGGTTCGGATCCCACATACAGACCGGTTCCCGCTCACTGGCTGAGCGAGGCGCGGGAGCAGCACCGAGGGTTGCAATCCCGTTGCTGGTCCCCGGTCCGGTACGGGGGCAACACTGAGGGTTGCGATCCGTTCACATTTCTGGGTGGTTAAACTAATATGAAATATATAGGGGATTTTTATTAGAGATATTTTAAATATTTGGGCATCTGCTAGGAAAATGGAAGCTATCTACTTGTATCTCATTTCTGTCCTTATCAATAGTACCTCTCATTTCTGTCCTTATCAATAGTACCTAAGTATAGTACAGTTAGTTTTATTTGATGAACTAAGCTCGCTTAATCAAAAAAATGAGTTAAAGTGGAGAATTATTTAAATTGACAGTTTTTTGAATATTATATTTTAACTCAAAACTAAATGTATATTTATTGTTAATCTTTGATGTGGGGCCAAACTTTGGTTCTTTTCATATGTCATTTGATTAAAATTTTACCTAGTCTTTCTTGCATAAGCCATACTCATATTCTATCATTTATAGTTTTCAATTTTGGTTTCTTTAAAGTGGAGGAAAAATTAAAAGATATTTGAAAATCAGTCAGTATAACATTTGTTATATATTTTTTGTGGGGTTTCCCACAATATTTTACAGCTATCTTGACTGCTTCTGATTGAGTAGTAAATGCTTATGACTTGCTCGTTGAGCTGTTTCAAAACATATAACTTAGCTTTTATACAAAAACTTTCCTTTTGTATGCATATTCTATCAGTGAGTGTTCATAGTATTATTAGATAATTAAAATCACAAGCACAGCTAGCATAAACTAGCATAAATGGGTTTGTATGAAAACACCTGACTATTTATAAGCAAACATTGTGTCTGGTGAGCAAAAATGCACAGGCATACCTAAGAGTAGATTATTATCTGCTGAAGTTCAGCATCCTGTGGTTATTAGTTTGTTTTACAGAAAGCATTAGTGAACTTCTATTATATTATGATAGTAAACAATATACTAATATTCTTCCATTAGTGTTCCCTTAAATGTCTAGATTTTAACGTGTACTGTTTAGTTATTTAACTTTGCATATGTATTTATGTAATATAAAAGATTAACTACTTCCATCAATATACGAGATTGGTTTAACTATAAAAACCAAATAAACATGTTACATAGCCTTTATTCAATATGTCATTTTTAAGGAAGCTCGTGGAAACCATTTAGCTGAAGAACTGGGAGCTTCTCAAGTACGTGAAGCTCATTTAGAAGCAAGAATGCAAGCAGAAATCAAGAAATTGTCCGCGGAAGTAGAATCTCTCAAAGAAGCTTATCACATGGAGGTAAAAAAAAATTTAATTTGTTCTGTTAGCCCTTGCTAAAGTGGGTTGACCTGTCTGGACAGAAGTATGAGTCTAGCTCTTAAATGTTCATTACAGAATAACACATTGTGGGCTTCATTTCTGGTAGTCTAAACATACAACTTTTACTTCATATCTAATGAGCTAGTATACTGTGGAGATAAAAGCTTGAATTCTTGAGCCAGGCAGCCTAGTTCCAAATTCCAGCTTGCCACTGAGCACCTGTATGACCTTGGGCGAGTTACTTCATCTCTCTGTCTAAAATGTATATAATAACGGTATCTATCTCATAGAACTGTGTGAGTATAAATTAATATATGTAAATTTCTTGGACCAGAGCGTGACTCATCATCATATCATTGTTTATAAAATAACACTTGCACAGAGTTTATGTTTAGGATGATGAAAAAGTTTTGGAAATAGAGGTGGTGGTCACAGAGCACGGTGAATGTAACCCACCAAATTGTATGTTTAAAAATGCCTAAAATGGCAAACCTCATGTTATATATATTTTACCATAATAAAATAAAATAGCACTTGCGGAAAACTAACTGGAGATATTTAATAACTGATATAAACAGTTTCTTGTCGTGTGAATCTATAATGTTTTGTAATTTTCTACATTTGTTCTGATAGGAAGTTAGAGAGGCAATACGAGAACCTTTTTATCTATCAGTATGTCCTGAGCCTTTATAGAAATGGACAGTCTTATAAATTAGAGTAGCATTTTTCATCTTTTTAAAAGCTACATTTGAAGATATTACTCAATATCTTTGTATATGATCTAAATAAATTACTGAATTTAGTGCTATTAAAGCATTTTTCTATATGGAAAGGATTGCAAATACGTTTATTTTAAACTCCTTTCAAGGGAGTTTGCTAATTTTTTGTGAGGGATTGATGGGGCTTGTGGTGACCATGTCTTGCTTAAATGCATTTAGATTCAAATCTCATTGAAAACATTGTGCCTGCCAAACTAAACACATTTGCAAGCTGAATCCAATCGTCAGAGCAAGAGATTGTGACCCTTCGTCTTTAGAGACAGATGTGAATGCTTTTGGACTCAGGATAATTACTTAATTGATACTACCTGCTCAGCTTAGTGACTATCGGTAGTAATTAGTTCATCTCAAGTGTTTGCCCTTACCTACTCATTACACTTTTATTATATGGCCTCTTTTCTGTTTTTATCTGCAATTATCCTTTTTTTTTTTTTACTTTTATAAGCCACCTGAAATTATTTATAAGCAAATAGTACATAAATTGTAAAGATTGGTTCTTGGGGCCGGCCCGTGGCTCACTCGGGAGAGTGCGGTGCTGATAACACCAAGGCCCTAGGTTCGGATCCCATACAGGGATGGCCGGTTCGCTCACTGGGTGAGCATGGTGCTGACAACACCAAGTCAAGGGTTAAGATCCCCTTACTGGTCATCTTTGAAAAAAAAAAAAAAATTATAAAGATTGGTTCTAGTATTGTTGTTTAATATTTGGTACTAATATTTTTATTTACAAAGGTACTTCAAAAAGTTTGTGGAAAAATAGAATTTTCCGGGGCCGGCCCGGTGGCGCACTGT